TTCAGAAATATATATGACTGTAGGCCATCCTGGAATGGATTTTAGCCTACTTTGATCAGTTTTCTAAAATAATGACACTTATGTGATATTTTTTTCTCTTTCTTTAAAAAAAATTATTGATGCTTTTTTTTTTCATCTTTGTCACTTCCCAATAACTTATACTGTAAGTCTATGCTTTGTAATTAAGAGAACAGGTAAGACATAACAAAACAAAATATTGTCTATGTCTGATAACATTGCAGCATACTGTACCTATAGTTATTAATGCCTCTCTATTGAGAAGGTAGATTTCAACATCCATTTTCTGGAATCAGGATTGGTCAGTACATTAATCTGAATTTTGATGTCTTTCAGCATTGTTTTCCTTTACATTACTGTGGTCATTGAATATGTTGTTCTCTTGATCTGTTTTCTTCACTTTCTCAGTTTGTGTAAGTCTCCCCACATTTCTTTGAATTTCTCATAGTGTTGTTTTTTTTGTTTTTTGTTTTTGACTAGGCAATAATATTCCATTATGTTCCTACACTATTAGTCCAGTTATTTCTCAATTAATGAGCATCCATTTTATCACCATAGGAAGTATTATAATAGATTTTTTGTTATATTGGACTTTTCCTTCTGTCTTTGATACCCGTCAAATATATGGCCAGTAACTGGTCAAAGGTTATGTTACTTGTCTAGCATAGTTGTAAGTTGTTTTCTGGAATAGTTGGACTAATTCACAATCTTACTATCAGTAGAAATGTGTGTCCATATTTCTAATCAAACAACAAACACTTATTAAGTGCTTACTTTGCCCCAGACATGGTACTAGGCATAGGAGAGAAAAAGATGGCAATGAAACAATTCCTACTCTCTATGAGGTTACTTTCTATTTGTGGAGGCAAGTTTTCTATATTTAAGAATAGACAGAATAAAGGTAAGTCAGAGAGAGGGGGCACTAGCATTTGAGGATATCAGGAAGGGTGTCATATAGGAATGTGCTTGAGCTGAGTCTTGAAGAAAGAAGTAAGAGTTTCTGTGAGAGAGGTAAAAAGGTAGTGAATTTCAGGTAGAGGAAAGAGCTAATGCAAAGGCACAGAGATGAGAGATGAGGTGTCAAGGAATAGTAAGAATGCTAGTTTAGCTAGATAAAGCTTGGGAAGATCAATAACGTATAATGAGGCTGGAAAGTTAGGTTGGAGTCAGGTTACGAATGTCTTTAAAAAACAAAGAGAGGAGTTTGTATTTGAACCTAGAGCCACTAGAGTTGCAAATCTGGGGAAAAGAGTCTATAAATAGCAATGTTTATGTTGACTCCATCTCTAGGACCAGTATGATGACAGCATGTGAAAGAAGAAGCATCCTAGAAAAGATATGGGGTTATCTTGGGGAATTCTGATCTCTGAACATTCAAAAATAGAAAGAACATCCCTTTGGAAGAGTTTTAAAATAAAGGGGTATTTTTTAATTATGAAAAGGGAATTCATAATCTAACATATCTACTGTTTAACTGGTTGTTTAACCACATTTGCTGACTTCATGAATGTTTGATGAAAACTTAGGATTACTTTAATTTGTATCTCTAATTTGTGAATTTGTACATTTCACAAAATATAACCCTTTTGTTTTAAAATAGCACCAAAAAGCATAGGAATAAAAAGATCAAAGCAGAAAGATAGCCTTATTTGAAGTGGATAAACACTAAAAACTTTTCCAACAAGATCAGGGGTAAAGCAAAGGGTATATAGTTTATCCCTATTATTACTTGACATTGTGCTAGAAATGCAATTAGACAGAAAAAGAAATTAAAGAGAAAAATAATAAACAAAAAAGCAAAATGAATCTACAGAATTTGTAGATATTATGATGACTTAGAGAACCCCAGGGATTCAATAAAAAAAATAGAAACAATTAATGATTTTGGTAAAATAGAAAGATAAAAAAAACCTACAGAAATCATCAGCATTTTCAGCCATTATTTTAAAAAACTCAGGAAAAAGATATAGGGAAATTCTATTCAAAGAAACTACAAAGTGAATAAAATACATGATGTTAAGCTATCAGGACACATACAGGCCACATAAAATTATAAAACACTTTATAGAAATAAAGGAAGACAAATGTTTGGGAAGATATAGTATATTCCCTAAATTAATTTACAGATTTAGTGCTACTAAATCAAATTAACATTCATTATTAAAACTAGACAGAATAACTACAAAATTCACTTAAAGGAGTAAAAGACCTAGAATCTGAAGGGAAATAATAAAACAAAATTTAGGGACAAAGAGAGTCTAGCACTACTAGATGTCAAGTAACATCATAAAACAGTAATCATAGAAACTATGTGGTGTTTCTTCCAAGAAAAACATAGGGTGTTGCAGGAAGTAGCCTTAGTGAGTCAGAGGAGAACACTCTTTCCTCTGAGTCAGTTCTGAATCTCTGTGACATAAATAGTGCAATCCTACTATAAGTTGTACTTTTTATGTTTTATTTTATGTTAAAATTGATGTGTACATAGCAACACCAACAAAAGTAAATACACTATCATTACCAGTAAATAAATCTTTTCCATTGCCAGGTTAGTATTCTTACTTCCTTTCTGCCCAAATAAATTCTTCTTCCCATTTAAATTAAATTGAGTACTTCAGAATTATTTTTGGCTGTTTGATATTATTGGGTTTCACTTCCAAAAAAGGGTGGCATATTGTGGTTGCTAAGTAGTCCTGTATTGGGATGGATAGGAGGGAAGAAATGAAAGGAATTTGTGGAAAAGTTTTTTTTTTCCCTTTCTCAATAAGTAGCCAAGAATAGTCAATTTTATCATAAAAATGGCATGTTTTATTCCAAAAACATATATGAAAACACCCCCATAGTACTGCTTTAATATAAGGGAAAATTGTTATTGTTTGTTTACAGAATAGGAAGGCTACATGACCGAGATGGATCGTTTCACTTCGTAACTAATCAGTGAAAAAATCAATTTGTTTTTTCCCCTCTAGATCATTCTGGCTTGCTTTGCATTTTAGTTATGGATATTGCATAGGGGAACTTCATATAAATTCCGAAAATGTTTTATCAATCTTGACAGCTCCAGAAATAATCAATCATATGTTTTTCAAGGGCCCCTATGTGCAAGGCAGTAGACAAAATACTTCTAGTGAGAATGAGCCTTGTGCATGGTTGTCTCTGAATATATATTTGTTTAATTGAACAATTGTTGAATAAAATTGTCAATTATGAAAGGGTTGGCATCCTAAGACATCATAATTTAGTTGAGAAAAGACATGGGTGTATGAAAAAATTAATAGTACAGGTTAGTAAATATTAAGTACCAAATGAGTGATGTGTATAGAAACTATTCTCAGGGATCAGAGGAAAGAGACAACTGTATATTCACCTGGGATGGGAAGGGAAGGGTTTCCTTAATGGGTGGAATGTGATCTGGAACTAGAAAAGTAAATGAAATGTGGTTAGATATGGAGTAGGGAAGAGGATTTCTGAGAGGGGCACCAATGTGTACAATAGCTTGGAGGTGGAAAAGTGCAAAATGTGTGCATAGAATGGTGAATGGACCACTTCAGCTATAGTGAAGGTTCATGTCCTAATGGCTAACATTTCTGTAGTACTTTAAGTACTTTTTCTCACAATAGTACCATGGGTTAGGGAGTTCAAGTTACTCTAGAAGAGAAGGACCAAAGAACTAGGAGAGCAGCATAGATTTAGAATTGGACAGGATCTTAGAAATCCTCAAGTGTCACCCCCCCCCCAACTCCCACCCTCACCATTTTATAAATGAAAAAACTAAGGTCCAGAGCCGTTAACTGATTTGCCCATAACTTACACAGCCAATAAATGTTGGAGTCAGAGCTTGAACCTCTCTATTCCAATTCCAAGTTCAATGCTTTTCCCATTATACTATGCTGCCTTCCGTACCATCAGTACATATTACACACTCTATATGCTACTAAATTAAAAAAAAAACCCACATGGAATTGATGACTACTTGCTAAAAAATACATAGGCAAAAGTAACAAAGGAAGAAGTAGATAATTCTCATTAAATTGTTAAAATAAAAGCTATAAAATCAGACAAAGAGAAACAGATTACATGTATCTCTTAACAGCTGATCTCTCAATAATTCATCTGTTCATTTGGAGATGATAACTATTAAGACTGATATTATCCACTACAACTGCCACATTGAGATAGATGGCAGTGTTTCATAGATTGTTATTTTAGTGTTCCATTTGGCTTACTAATGTAAGAATTGTAGTATATTACTAGCAGGGCCATCCTTAGTAGTTTGGTTGATGAATGCATTATTCGTGAGATTTCCCTTTTTAGATATTTAGTTCTTTGGCCTTATGGTTTTCCTCTACTCAAATGCAGTTCTTATTAACAGGCAAAAAACACCTTAAATCGTTTTTAAAATTATATTTTCATTTATTTTGTTAAATATTTCCTAGTTACATTTTTAAACATTCATTTCTTAAAATTTTGAGATCCAAATTCTCACCCTCCTCCCATGGCTCTTCCACCTATTGAAAAGGCAATAAATATGATATCACTTATACATGAAAACACATTATCTTATCAGTAATAAATTGGTTCATACTAAGATGTTAATTAACTTCTTACCTGAAGGTGAGTTTTAAAAATGAAATAAAAAAACCAGATAACTTTAAAGCACTTGGCTTGGGCTTCAGCTCTGAGAAATAGGAGGAAACTAAAATCAATCCTTGCTTCACCGTTTGGCTGAGTATTGTCTCTCCTCTCCTGAGCATAGTGTAATAACATAATAGAGCATCCTCCCATCCACCTTACATATCTGAAGGCTTACCCTGCTTTGCATTCCTAGTACTTGGTATAGTGCTTGGCACATAGTAAACACACAAATGTTTATTTACTGTCTTGGGCAAATCCTTTCACCAGTTTTTCTCCAGAAAGTCAAAAGTGGAGACTTGAAAGGAACAAACGAATTGTCCTCAAGTTCTTTGAAGGGCTATCTGGTGGAAATATTAGATTTTTTTTTTTTTTTGCTTCGTTGTCTGTGGGAAGAACTTGCCTGAGAAACAGGTTCAGGAAAAATAAAGAAAAAAAGCTTCCTAATGATTACAACTATACAAAAGTGGACTGGGCTGTTCTGGGAGGTTCCCCCTCCATTGAAGTCCTCAAGCAGAATCCAAATGACCTCTTAGGTATATTTTAGGAAGGATTCATGTTCAAGTATGAGTTGCAGTAGCTGACTTCTGAGAACCATCCCAAGGCTGAGATTCTGTGATCTGTAGAATGAGGGTAATAATACCTGTTCTACTTTATTCATAATTTATATGAAAATAATGTTATAACATAATAAAGTGCATTGTAAACTATAAAATGCTATATAAATGATTTCATGTTATTTTATATCTTATTTTCCTACCCACTCAATTACTATTTTCTCCCCATTCTATATTTTGTTTGATTCTTTGTGATTCCTCTGCCTTTTTTTTTTTTACATATGACTTACTGCTTCCTGCCTCCTCTTCCCTACCTCCTTTCAATTAAGACAGTAGTCTAACTGTTACTACCTTCAGGATTGTAGCAGCTTAGCATAACTGGAGTTTCTTAAATTCCTATTCAGGCACCTCCAGGCTAGTAATTCTCTCCACCCCAGATCCTTGAGTTTAAATAATTCCTAGCCAGTTGCCTTATCATAGAATAAGAAGTTGAGCCTGGTTTTGCCTTAGTAGCTCCGACCTGAAGACTGAAGGGTAGTTATGACTGTTGACCTAGTGCTGCCTAGAGCAGGGATCCCCAAATTTTTTTCAGTACTGGTATGCTGACTTTCAGTAAACTGCCTTTTATGCACTATTCATTATGTCAAGAAATAAATTCTAGAGTTTCTCAGGCATATGCACATAAATAAAATAGAGATTAAGTAATTTCAGTAAGATAGTATAGTTATTTGCCAAATATTTCCCATGCCCCATTGATAGACTTTTTAGATCCTCTTTGGGGAAAGGACCATACATAAAGTTAGAACTTTTGTGCTAGAGTACAGAAGAAAGCTGAATACTTCAGAGGGTACTTGTGTGTTTTTCAGCATGCATGTCAGTATAACCTATGAATTTTAATATTATTCCATAGTGTTTAAATGAGCCTTATTAAGGCAAATTAGTCTTAGTGTATGCCCCGTCATAAGAAAATATATTATATAAAAATGTAAAGCATTTGTTAGAGAGTAATTCACATTAGAGGTGATCATTTATAAGCCAGTCATCTTCCCAGTAAAGGGAGAAGCATTTAAAAAGTTGAACTAGTAATGAATGCACTCTTATGGTTCTCTTACATACCTGATGACTCTTCTATTTCTTTCACTCACTCTTTTTCCCACTCCCTAAATGTAGGCCTTTTTCTAAGTTCTGTCCTCTCCTTGGTGATTCATTCTCTCAGCTTCAACTATTACCTAAATGCAGATGACTCACTCATCTGTATTTGTGGCCACAATTTCTCTCCCAGGATTCAGATCCACGTTTCCTGCTGTTTGATGGACATCTCTATATTCATTATCTTCTTTTCCTAAACCAACTCTTCTTCTTGCCTTACCTACTTCCCCAAATTATTGTATTAGGCCATTTTGTCTAGAGTGTGAAGTTTTTTGTAGGGCAACATTTTCTAAGCTAATTTGAACACTACTATTTCCACTGTGGCTCAGTTCATGATTAAGGTGAGGGAGGTTCATAGGTGAGGAAAGGTAAGTGAATGAGAATCTAACAGTATGAAAAACCAAGTCATCTCAGGTTGAATTACCGACCAATTTTACATTGGGTTCAGGATTGGACAATCAGAGGTGGGTTGGGGTAGTGACTGGAACTGAGACATTTAGAGTGAAGAGGTTGGCAATGAGTCAGTCAAAACAAATTCTGGAGGGGCCCTGAGCAAAGTACTTGTCTGTATAACGTAGTACCTGGTTAGTCAAAACAGAGTGCAAAAGGCTAAAGTACAAGGGTGGGTTCATAATGTGCTGAACCAGTCATCTGACAAGTGGTATCCAAGGGCAGAAAGAGAATTAGACAAGGGCCAAAGCTGTCAAAACTGGAAACAAGTCAGATCAGAGCATGTAAGGGGATGGCTAAGGTCGGAGGAACTTCAGTCTAAGCAAAGCAAAGAGCCTAAAGCAGTTTGTGGGGATCAGCTGGAAGCGTTTTCTGCCTTTAAAATATGTGTCTGTGTGCAGTTTGGCAAGGTGGAGCAGGATGAAGGGGAAGAGCACAAAAAGCTGCTGCCACTGAATTAGCCATTAACTTATATCTTTATTCTCCAGCATAGGAGGCAGCCGTGTTAAGATTAACCACAGAAGCTTTGGGCTTGATATATGATAATAAATAACATGTTAATAAACAAATAAAGCACAGTGGAATATAAATTGCACTGTCTTTGGAGTCCTGGGTTTGAATCCTGATTTTGCCACTTACTACTTTGATGGCCTTGGGCAAGTCACTTAAATCTTCTGAGTATTAGTTTCCTCATCATAAAAATGAGGAAATTAGGCTAAATCATCTCTAAGGTTCTCTTCTGAACATTAAAAAAAAGTTACAATGACCTCTTTTTGCATCACTTTTGCTAGCCCTTCTTTTTCCAACTTCCCCTTCCCTCAAATAAAAACCAGGCGAAAGGGAAGGAAAAAAATATAGGAAGTGTTACGTGAGTAGGCCTTGCTATGCCCATTTGCTTTATGCCATAAATATTATCATAGGCGGGCAGTTTCTTATGAAGGAAGCTCACCTGAGGTTTTCCTTTATATGAAATTACATACTCTTACACTCCATACTTTCTACTTTGATGATGTCATGCCATTCCCATTGCCTAATTTATCACCTCTGTGGAGGTAGGTTCAATCTGACCTCCATCCCTCCAACTCTTCCTAGAACTCTAATTCTGTATAGAATTTGCTAAATACTAAATACAAATAAAATTTGCTAAATACTAAATATAGAACTTGCTAAATACTCTGCCTGTTTATTCCACTGATATATCAAACTCAACATCTCTCAAACTGAACTTAGCATCTTCCCTCTAAGTTCCATGTGCAGTATAGAGTTGGAAAGACTCTCATCCAGATCCTGCCTCCAACCTATTAATTATGTAACCATAGGCATATCATTTAACTTCTCAGCCTCAGTTTTCTCATCTGTAAAATACCTGTAGTTTCTACCTTACAAGATTGTTGAAGCTTAAACAATATGATTTTATGCAAAATGCTTTGTGAATATTATATAAATGGCATTTCTTATTATCATTATTATAATTAGCTTCCATTTCTGACAAAGAAACCACCAGTATTCTATTCACTCAGGCTCTTAACTTTAGAATCTTCTTTGACTCTTCCTTCTCCCATCTCTCTCTCTCTCTCTCTCTTTATTTCTCTCTCTGTCTCTCTCTCTCTTTTTCTGTCTCTCATTCACTCTCTATCTATCTATCTATCTATCTATCTATAGAGGTCCTCATGCCTGCTCAACTAGAATATTGTATTAATCACCTGATTGGTGTCTCTACCTCAATTCAAGTGCTCCTCCAAACTTTTCTCCTAATTGATTCCTAAGTCATCTTCCTAATATGCCAATTTGAATAGGTGACATCTCTACCAGAATCTTTCATCAACTTGCCTAGGGAACAAAAGAATCCTGACATTCAAGATCCACTATTTTGGGGTTCTCAGTTATGCAGACTTATTCCATACTGTTGCATATTATTCCTTTTAATACTCTGCATTCTCATCAAACTTTACTGCTTTCTGTTCCCCATTCTCATCTTGCCGCCTTCTGTCCTTGTGCCTTTGCTCATGCTACTTTCCCATACCTTCGGTGGGCTCCCCATGCTCCATCTGCTGATATTCACCTCTTTCTTCAAGGATAAACTCAGGCGCCATCTTCTTGATGAAACTTTTCCTGATAGTTCCTGGCCCTCAGGCGTTCCTGGTTTAAAAATAATTTTATTACTTAAAAGTTGGAAAATTCTTCACTCTTGGGTGATCTTTCCTAAAACTAAAACATAACTGCATCTGGGTTTCAAAAGAGTACCTCCAATTGTTCAAGTTCAAAATGTCCCATTTTATAATATTGCAACACCTTGTTCCCATTTGTCCTTCTACAAGCTTTCTTAAAAAAAAAAAAAAAAACTAAACTAAAAAACATTGAGACTCACCTCTAATATGTTCTTGACAGCTTCAAGGCCCAAACCTTGAAATAGAGTATTAGCATCTGTTTTTACTAAAAACAGAGTACACTATGCTAAGCTACTCCTGAAAAATAAAGAAATTTACTATAGATACAGTCAGGTGATATTGGTGGTGTTTTGGAAGCTTACTTCTGGCTGCTGTTTATTATAACAACTAACCATATTTTCAAGAGAAAATAAAAAAGAAAGAGCACTATTGACGCCCAAGCATTAATTATCATGAGGACAGATCAAAGTATGCCCTATTTTATTTGTTTTAAGAAAAAGGTCTATTACTGTTCGGATAAATTGAATTTTTAGAATTTAAATTAAGTTTTAAAGGCATATGATACCTAGCCTTATAAAGTAAACTTCAGGTTTTCTGTATACTTCTGTCTAACTATATCAAAGTAAAGAAATATGAGCCAACATACTTGATTAAAGCTGAAATTATAAGATATTTAGAAAGATACAGTGCATAGAGTAAAGGTCACATGAAATAACATGGAAGATTTTAAATACCTAAAGCTCCCACTCATCCGACTTAACCCCAGCCCACCATGAATACTGGGTATAGGCAGCACAGGCAATCTCAGTGTGTTTTAGGATCAGGTTAAGGAGGTCTTTCTAATCTTCTCTCCCAGTCTCCCCCCCACACACACATGTCAATGACTTAGTTTGAGCCCCACCCCTCCCAACTCCTAGTACAAGAGGAAGAAAATATTGATTCTGCCAAGTCTTGTGAAATAAAGGAAGTATAACTGTGTGGGTGAGAGAGAGAGAGAAAGGGAGGGGGAAGAGATACAGGAATGCAGAGCTTGTTAGAAGGGAAGGGGCTTCTTAGGGAAACCTAACTGAAGTCTTCTCAGGAGTTTGAAGTCACTTTGCCTCTAGGGTTTGTGCAAGTGAATGGGTTCATGTTAGAGTTATGGAAGGGGGAGGGGCTAGAGGGTAATAAGAAAAGCAAAAGATAAGAATATAAGAAGAATGAAAGAAAAAAATGTCCAAGAGAAAAAGTTTGAGTATAGCCTAGCTCACCAGAACATAAACCAAACATGAGACTCATACAGAAGGAAAAAAGGAGTAGCATTTTAAAAAACCAATTAGCAAGCACTTATTAAATGCCTACTATGTGGCAGACATGATACGAGATGGAAAAATGACTTAGAACACACTTCTGCCAAGATGGTTCTTTGCACAGGGGACAGATTGCCTACTCCCCTATACCTACTCCAGCAAAAACCTTTGGTTAGCACCAGACCAAATAATGATCGAGAAGTCCAAAGAGAAACAATAGTGCTTTCTTCCATACCATACTTGCACAAAAGTTAACCAGAAATCCAGAGCAAGTGTCTGTAGACAAAGGTTGCAAGAAGAGAGGGCTCCCCTGCAAAAGCTCCTAGGTGGTCAGAAGCCACAAGAAAGGGACCTAGAAGCTCCAGGAGCAGCAGTGGCCTCGGCAACCAGACCATTACGCTGCTGCAGGACTCGGACCAAAGAACTCAAACCAGGACAGCCAGTGTCCCAGGGACACTGTTCCCCAACAGTTAGACTTGAGATGTCAAAGAGGGCCCTGAAGACCCTAAAAATGATTCTTCCTTAATTGCTCCATGCTTTAGAATGAATCAATTAGGCCTAGGCTCTGCAAGTTATTTCACTTTGTTCATTTTACACGAGACCTGCAATTTGTTTCCAGTGCCAGCTGCTAGCGGACTTCCTCTTTGATAAAAGGAAGCTATAAGATAGTTTGCTCGGGAGTGGGCTGATTGTTTATTCTACTTTTAGTTAAAGAGAACCAAGAAAGAATTGGATTTACTAGTAATATTTGTTTTAAAATTTCAGCTAGGGTTTTGTCTTGTGTTGCTTTTGCATTTTGTATCAGTAAGTAGCTAAAGGCAAGTTTTTATGTTGTAGAATTTTAAAAGTTATACGTGATAAAGACCTGGCTCTATCACATGGCAATTTTTTTTTAATCTTGGACAAATTACTTAAACTCACTAAATCTCATTTGCCTCATCTGTAAAATGTGATTAATGAGATACTTCTTACTTTAATAGGTGTTATGTGTGAATCCAATGAGGTCATGCATATAAAGCATCTTGAAACCATAAAGAAATGGGAGCTATTTTATTAGTGTTATTATTATCTTGAAATTCCCCAATGCTTGATATAGCCCAGGTGAAATTCTATTAATATGATAGTATTACAGAGTTGGATGTTGAGGAATTATTTATCCTGCCAGATGGTTCTGAAAAATAATTCTTTGCTGATTTAGTTCCATTGAATTGAATACAAAGAATGTTTGGGAAGTGGTTTCTTTGGGTCTAGAACATATAATATTTTTCCTTTTTTCCCTTTTATTTGTTTTGTTATTCTGGACCTATAATTTGCTCTGTGTGGGGAATTCCCACTGGGAAAATTCCCTTTACCAAAATAGGTCAGCAACTGCTTCACCATTTAAAATCTCACTTGCTAAGAGCACTGAGAGGTTAAGTCAGTTGTCCAGGCTCACACATCCGATGTTAGTGACTTAGTAATTAATATCTTTGGTGACTTTGGAGGGAGCAGTTTCAGTAAAATGTTGGCATTTTAAACCAAGTTGCCAAAAGTTAACAAGTTAGTGCATTAGAAGGAAGAGAAGTGAGTAACAACTCTTTCTAGAAATTATTAGACAGATATAAGTCAATAGCTTGAGAAGGAAGTAGGATCAATGGAAAGGTTTTTGTTTTGGGTAATGGGAATTTGAGGAAATTTATAGTCAAAGAGAAAGGAGCCAGTAGAGAGGGAAAGTTTAAAAATGAAATAATGAACAATGACTTTGAGAAACTAAGGTCAAGGGCACAAGTTGAATAATTATCTTTGGCGGTGATTCCCACCATATCCTCTGAGAAGAGGTGAGGAGGAGGATGAGTGAAGTTCAGTAAGCAGTGGAGGGAATCTTATGATGGATAGTGTCAGTCTTCTTATGAAAGTAGGAGGCAAAGTCATGTGCAGAGAGAGGAGGGTGGTGGGGTGGTAGATTGGGATCCTACTGGGACCATGAAAGAAGTGGTTAGGAATAGTGGCTGTGGGATATGGGTTGAGAAATTAGTTATCAATTAATAGAAGGACTGCCCATACCCTGTTGAGGGCCCAGTAAATGAACAATTTTAGCTTCATGCATGGGTGGCAATTTTCAAAGGAGCACGATGTAGGGCAGGGATATTTAACCTGGGGTCTGTGAACTTTTTTTAAAAAACATTTTGATAACAATAAATTTAATTTCCTTTGTATTTTATTTTGTGCACTTAAAAGCATTCTGAGGAGCACAAAAGCTTCACTGCCAAAGGGATCCATGACGTAAAAAATTAAGAACCACTGATGTATAACTTAGAGACTATATGTGCTAATTTTAAGAGGTGGACAGGTCACCATTGCTTTCTGTCCTCCTTGGTCCCACCCCTCTCCCCAAACCCCAATGTTCAATACTTAGTGGCTAACATTTGTGTTGATGGGCATCTCCATGTAGTGTTTTCTGTATATAACTGTCAGTTTGCTACTGGTATTGCTTTTAAAGCCTTTCCAATTTGGTAGACTGTCACAAAGGCATAGCCTTAGCATCAGAATAGGACTTTACTAGAGATTTTAAGTAGTGATAAGCATAATACAATTTTTTTTAAAGTACAGAGATTATTAGCCAGTCAGAAAGACCAGTTACCATACCTTTCCTTACACTAATGAAATCCCAGGTTTGGACAAAAAAAGAAAGAAAGAAGGAAAGAAATAAAAATGATCTTTGTTGATTCTTTTATTCATAATAAAATCCTACAGTGTTCTTTGTAAATTAATTGACCCTCTCAAAATGCTTTTTTTTAAGTTGAGGAGTAAATGAGCCAAAGGGCTTTGTTTACTTCTTTCTGCCCTTTGCTCTAGATGATGCTGAGAGCCAACTCTGAATAACAGGGTAGGTTTAATATTTAAACAAGATATCAGGTAATTTCTTTGTTAGGGATCATTCTCTTCAACTTCAAAGTTTTTATAGTTGGCTATTTTTAGAACCAGTTTCACTTGTCACTGAAATTCAAATTCAGAAACCATTTTATCCACATTTAAGGTGGCTTTAGAACACAACCTTATGTTTCCGTCAAACTAGATTTTAAAGTCAGTGTATTTTCACCTTGCTTGAGCAGCAGTTTGGCAGAGTGGATGGAATGAGTTCAAAAACATAGCATGTAATCTTAACTGGCAAAAGGCCATCTATCATAGAATGTTGGAATCAGGAGAACATAGAAATCATCTAATCGAACCCTTTATAACAGAGATAAAAGAACTATGTCCAAAAGAAGTGACTTGTCCAAGATCACACGGTGCAGAATGGGGATCAGCAACCAGTTCTTCAAAACATATAAAGTGTAATTGAAGAAAATGTCTTTAATTTTTTTCCCCCCAGATAGCTGTTCTGCATTACCTAATGAAATGTTCAAGGTATAATCTGGAAGGAGCAAGTCTCCAGTGTTTAGAACTTCCTGGTAAGAACAATTCTTATTTGAAAACCCTTAAATATAATTGGAACAAAACCAAGAGCAGATCACTATTTTAAAGTCTCTTAAGATAAGAATCAGCATCATAGCTAGCTAGCATTGATAGAGCACTTAAGATTTGCAAAGCACTTTACTTATCTTCTTATTTGAACCTCATAACAGCCCTAGGAAGTAGGGGCTATTGTTATCTCCATTTTACAGATTAGAAGACTGAGGAACAAAGAGATCAAGTGACTTCCCTATGGTAAGTGTCAGGTAGAATTCCAGCTCACGTAGTCCTGACTCCAAGCCCAACATTTTTGCACTGTATCACCTGGTTGCCTCAAGTAGTGAATAGTAAGCTCTCAGACTCCTTGAACCATACCTCTAGTTGTTGCTGCCTGCCCCATTAATCCTGGGGCTTCATAGGAGAAGACATCAACAGCCGTCAGGTATTGGACCTTGAGGGAGAATGTCCAACTATCTTCTCCCTTCGTTGCCTCCATCAGCCTTTCTCCAACCACTGATATTGTACTTGGACACCTTCTTCAATGGCTAGCATGGCCTCTTGTGTACTCTCCCTAACTCAGTGATTCTGAATTCCTAGATGTCAATGTCCAAACTTTATAACCCCATTTTGCACATTTGCTTACTCTCATCCTCTGGATTCTGGCCAATGTACCACAACAGATCTCCCTGTCCTTTTGGCTGCACCCCCTGGAATCCCTCCTCCATAATTAACAAAATTCCTTTTATCTTCAACCTCTTCCTTTTTCACTCTTTCCGTCTTCTGTCACTCGCTGATGTCTGGTTCCCTCCTGATGATACTGCTTACCAGTATTACTTATGCGTCCTTTCATGCCTCCTGACTCACTGTTCACTTTGAGGGAGCCAGAACACACCTTGCTCACCTTTGCCACAGGCTTTCTTCCTATACTACCATCATTCATCATTATCTCCTCTTTTGAAGGTCGTGATGTCCAAATTCATTACCCAATGCAAATCTTGGTGGATAATAACTCTGGACCCCCTGCCCAGTGTCTTTCCCTCTACCTCAACTCCTAGCTGTAAACATCAACTTACATGTTGATACTC